GGAACCCCTTTCAGAACACATTTCTCTGCAACCACGTGTTTACCGCAGGTAAGGTTTTTTCATGTAAGACGTTCAAATTTTTTATGCACTAATGTAAGATGGACAAATACCTAGTAAAGGCAAAATCTTCTATGATGATGCAGCAAAAATATTCAATGCTTTAAAAAATAGAAGACGTTAAAAATGTATTATAACAAAAGAAATTTTTTTTCCAAGTCTATTTGTATTTTTTCAGTTTTTAGAAATCTCACTTAACTTTCTGAAATCTCACCCTGTTTTTGAGAAAGGGTGAGAAATTCTCACCCATTTTTTTTCTATGATGAAAACACTGTATATATATATATATATATATATATATATAACTAAAAATTATTCTATTTATAAATAAGTTCCTAAAACAGTTAAACTGTTAATTTTTCTAAAACGGTTGAAAAATTATTACTTTTCTGCATCACAACCTAACATCCTCAAATTTGGGGCTCTGAAAATTGACAATTTATACTTATAAGATGGTTGTCACTCAGCCAGCAATTTGAGTATCTTTTTGCTGATAATTCCTATAAGATAACCATTTAGGATCAATATGCAATTTTGACTTCAACGGAGAAAGTCACAAAAATTTTAAAAACCAATCTTTTTTAGGAAAAAGAGAGCATCTACCAAATTTTATAGGCAAATTAAAAAAAAAAATTCAATTCAGATCTTAATACTTTAAAACAAATATCAACTTTTTTATAAAAATTGGTCACATAAGATGATTGCTTAAATGAAATAAAAATCTATTAAATTTACATTATTAAACAAAATAGCAGTGATTTTGTTAGAATATAATATAAACTACAGTTCCTTAGGACCCAGAACTTTCGAATTTCTAGGTCTCTTTTACTAGGTTACATTTATTTTTTTTAACATGAATTTTCTACCTCTTTAAACATCTGTTAACAGGCACATTCCTAATTTTCTATTGATAGACAATAAAAAAAAATGACAAGAAAAGGGTTATCTTTGCACAATTAAGTATTTTATTTAGGACTGATCAAACAGTTGCATAAAAAAAAGCAACAATGTAAGATGGTAATCAGAATTATCTTAATTTTTTTCTTTCAGCTACTAATAAAGAAACAGTTAATTATATACGTTTTAAGTTTGGTTATAAATAATTTTGTTAACTAATTAAAACATAGTTAACTTCACAATAGAAAATTCTGTGTTTTCGAATGATGTGCAATAAATTATTTTTTTCATCACTTCTATGATTTTTGACATATTTGTCGGGTTATAAAGTATAAACAGATTAACTGAAATGTAATAGTTCTTTTTAAATATAAATATGTTATCAGAGGTGTCTGTGGTAGACAGTGAAAAACCCTGAACATATTATGAGCCAAAAATCAATATCAATTTATCTATCATACATGTTTAATATTCAACATAATTTTTTGGACTAACATTTATAATTAAATTACCTACTAATGCAGAATACGACACCTTTAAGATAACTAATTCAAGAAAAAACTTACTTCTTACAAGAATCGTAATATCTGATTTTAAAAAAGCGAAAATACAAATTACAATAGCGAATTATTAATACGAATCACAGTGCATAATTATTAGATCCTGGGGATTCGAATCGCAATACATAGTTTTTGAATCACTTATAAATGCAAAAATTGTTGCTTGATATTACAAAGTCTGCGAATACGAATCGCAATATTGGATTTTAAAAACGTGCGAATACGAATCTCGGCATTGGATTTTAAGTTTGCATAAAAGGTGTAAAAAACGTGTTAAAAAACGTGTAAATACAAAATGTCATATTGGATTTTTAAATCACTTGAATAGTAACTGTGATGTATGATTTTTAAATCATGTGAATATAAATCGTGGAATTCTGCAATATTCACATAAAAATCGCATACACTTCTAGTTTTCAGACTCTGAAGAATGTTGCAAAAAAAAAAAACGGAATACAATCACCCCTGTGCAATGCAAATTAAATTTTTTAAAAATTAAATTTATCTGAACCTTTAGTAGAATAAGTTTCAAGACCTCAGCAGAAGTCCTGTTCTCATTTTTCCTACACACCATCATTCACTGGAGAAAAACTATTATCATTAATATTCTAAAATCTTGCATCATTTCACTCAGCCCATGTTTTTTATTAAAAAAGTTTATTTGTCAAAAGACAGGAAGCTTTGACCTGTGAATCACCAATCTTGACTAAAACAATTAATTTATCTACAAGATTCACAAAAAAATGCATCAAAAGTATATTTGCAAGTCTTTTTAGTTTCAAGTTTTTGAACGAAAAGTTTATTTATTGAATGTAAGTTTGATAGCATAAGGCACAAAACTGGTCAGATTAAGAGGTATCCCCCACCCCCTAAAAAAAATTCAAGAAGTATAGATTTCTTAAAATCCTTCTTCCGGGTGGTAACAATATTTTAATTATGTGCATAATTGCAAACCAAGCACTTGAAAATGTTCTTGAAAAAAATCATGACAATTTTCGGAACAATATACATACCTCAGAATACTTATGCAAATGGCAAAAAAAAAAAGGATAATTTACTCTACTTAAATGTAATAAAAGAAAATTTTATTGCAAAATAATAACATTAACATTTTTAAAATCTCAAAATGAAAACATAATAAATATATCAACTAACATTTTTGCTCAAAAGTAATTTGGATGGTCCTTAAATTAATTATATAAAAATTCTATGATATGATTTCTTTATTGTTGATTGAAATCTAGCATTTATTAAAATCACATGAAAGAGACAAATCAATAATTGTGAAAACTACAAAAGTCCACCATACAAGATTTGTTACTGCATTCGCTAACAATAATAAATAAATAACGTATGTACCCCATAAAAATTAGTAAAATTGTTAGTTGAGTATTTCATAGACTGAATGAATTTCCAAAAAGGTTTAAAAAATGAAACCAGTAGGTAAGGCTATATGCCTGAGACTGTCTACTATTTTGCAATTCCTATTAGCATTATTAGTTAAAATAAAAATAAGTTGGATAAAAAACTCTAATCTTTTGATTCTTTATATCTATTTCCTTAAAAACTTGAGCATTTGTATACTTAGAAAATGGGATGTTCTGAATATAACCAAAAATCAGGAATACAAAAAGGTAAAAATCAGGACAAAATATTTTTTATCAGGAAAACTAGGAATATCAAGACAGCTATGAGTCCTGTATGCTTTTGCTTCTTTTTTTTTATCAGGGTTGCTACACAAATTTTGAAAATATTTTACCAGTCCTCATAGTTTGATAATCACATGCCATTTATTTAAAAAAAAAAATAGCAATCATTCTTCTGATAAAAATTATCGAAGAAAGAAAACAGTTAAAAACTGAAGACAGAGGTAGGGGAAGTGATAATAGATAAGCTATGCCTAACGGGAACGACATCTCCACGAACATAAGAGATAGTTATCTTATAATAGCATCAAAATCTAAAATAATAAAGAAATAACATAGGAAATATAAAACGTAAAATAGATAAAAATGTCATAATATAAAGTAGTAAGTGTAAGAATCTGCTGATGCCAAAGAATGATTAAGAAAACATAAAACAATTGAATTGAAACTCGTTAATATTTCAAGCTTTTTTATCTGTGATCATTCACATGGTGGCACCTGTTCATCTCATTGGCTAATGAAAATGGTGATGCATTGCATAAAGGAGGAAGTACTTGCAGAAGGTTTGTTAACAGCAGGTGAGAGAAGAGAAATCAAAGTACACTCAAATTTTCGTTGCTAGGAAAATACGATAAAAGTTTGACTTTGTGATTATAAATATTGAAGGCAAAAATAACAAGTCAAGAGATAAGATATTTTCCTTAAATTTATTGAATTTTCCTATGTTTTTCCCAGTTTCTAAAATCAGTTTTATGATTTCAATGTTTTCCTTGTTGATACTTCAGTGTTTTATTACCTATACAATTTTTATAATATTATCGCATAACCTGAAGTCAACATGGAAAATGAACTATACTAACCTTTGTTTACTTGGAGAAGGACCTGCAACAGGTACAGCTGTAACAGATAAACTTTTGTTTTGTCTCAATGGCATGGGTAATTGCACATTATTATTGCTATATTGCTGTTGTTGAGGCTGTTGTTGTTGCTGCTGTTGTTGTTGGTGTTGTTGCTGCTGCTGTTGTTGTTGTTGCTGCTGCTGTAGTTGTTGTAGCTGATGTTGTTGCTGTTGTATCCTTTGTTGCTGAACCTGTGATTGTATTTGTTGCTGCTGTCTCATTTGAGGCTGCTGCTGGTGAACTTGACGCTGCTGTTGAAATGTAGCATTATTTTGAATATTAAAGTTTTGTTGAGGATTTTGCACAAGAGTTTGTCGCACATTATTGCGATAAGTCATTCTTGGAGCGTTATTAACTTGACGCATGTTATTATGATTGCGAGCCATATCAGTGGAAGAGGTAACTTGAGGTTGGCCATAGGCAACCTGTTGATGATGCATTTGCTGAATAGGTGGTGCTAAGGGAGCTTGAACTTGACGATTTGTGTTCATCTGCATTTGTGGCTGTTGTCGAACAGGAGGGGAGGGATTAGGCTAAAATAATACATTAATTTAAATAAATAAACTTATCAAGTTGATACAGCATTAAAACATAAAACAAATTTTTTTTTAAAAAAATCTTACAATTGAACTTTGGCAGATTGTATTTGGCATAGGCAACATAATATTTTGATTAGCAGATCCAGGAAGAGGTTGTTTATCCAGCAATATTTTACCAATGGTACTAATGTAATTTGTCAAGAAGCTTGATTCAAATTCAAATGACATATCTATAACTTGATTAGAGTTAGGAACTTCACAACGATGCCTTAGAATTCGTCTCAGCTGAAAACAAAGAAATGTAATCAGATAAAAGCTAAAGGTTTTAAATATTTTCAAGTTTCATAATTAAAGATTAAACTAAATAAATTATACTTAACACTCATAACTGTAATTCATGTAATTAAAGGTGTATTTAACAGAAATATGAAACATTTCTCAATGCTAGTTCTTAAGTTGCATCTATGTAAAGCACGATTTTTTAAATGATAATTAAAACTTATCCTCTGAAAGCAAACTAATTTTTTAAAATAAAAATAAGATTAGAATTTTTCTAATTGAAACATATAAAAAATGTGAATATTATTTAAACTTTATGGCATTTATTTTAATTATTTACATCATTTATTTTTTGTTGATGGTATTATTGCTTGATTTTGACATACAACGGTTTTGTTGGAATTATTTTCAATTTGTCTCCTCTTAGATTAAAATAAACAGGCTTTTTTTTAAAAAATAATTTGTAAATTGACAAAATAACATCACATCATTACCTGCTTTTGAATTATTTAGAATAGGGGTGCTCAACCTGCGGCCCGCGGGCCAAATGCGGCCAGCCAACCCTCTATGTGCGGCCCGCGGCCGCAATCTGAACAGAATGGAAAAAAAATTAAATATTTGTTTTTGAAAAATAATAAAAAAAAATTCGGTAATTTAAAATTACACTTTTAAGTTTTTGACGCACCCAGTCTCAATCAATGTAGTTTTTCGATGGTTAACGCTACGGATTTCAGCATAGTTTTAAAAATCCCAATATTTTTAATACATCATTATTACGATTTACGAATTTTAATTACCACTTTTGACGCCTTTCGTATGTGCCGATTCCAATGACTTTTCGGTAGTTATTGCTGCCCATTTTCAAGTAGTTTCTGAAATAGCGATTTTTGAAAGTTATGAAACGCTTTATCTGTGCAAACTTCATGGAAAATCTAAATGACTTTAGAACCTTTCTTCAACAGTTATTGCTGTACATTTCCGCCCGCTTTTTAAAACTTCGATATTTTAACACGATATTATTACGAATCGCGAGTAAAGAATCGCTCATTTAGATAACCATTTTTTGACATGGCTTATTTGTAACGATTTTATCGCAAATCAAATTATTTTGCAATCGTTACTTTAGAAATTATTGCTACACATTTCTACAAGGTTTTGAAAGTACCGATATTTNTTAAAATTTATGTTTAAATGGACTTTTGTATTTTGTAATGTGATAAAAAAAATTTCAATTTTTCCATAGTTTTTAAATTATTTCAATTTATCTAAATTTTTTCTGATAAATTGATTCTGATTTTCGAATTCTGTTTTCTTTCTTAAGTAATCAGTTTTGCATTTTCTAATTTTAAACGTTTTAAAGTATTGTATTTTCTGCAAAGAGATTACAAGGTTAAGCGACAAAAAGAATTTAGTGTTATATAAACAATGATGTTTATATAACAATCACCACCAACAATTGCTTTCAATATGTAACATATCATCTAATAATCTAAACACTTTGGCATGCGGCCCTTCATTGGTCAATCTGCTGTGCATGTGGCCCTTCACTGAAAAAGGTTGTGCACCCCTAATTTAGAAAAACATTGTTTAACATTAAAATTAAAAAACTGATGTGATTGTTAAACTTTATTTTAAAATAAAGAACTGAATAGAGAGAATAAGAGAAAATTTCAAAATTTCACTGACAACAATGTACGAAAATCCAGTAAAACAGGAATTACATTATCCCATTTAAGAAGTACTAATTTTATTTATTATCAAATTTCTTACTATGTTAGTTAATGTGGGGAAAATGATTCTCACTAAACTAAAATGCATTTTTGCATAACTGCTCAATTTAAATTATGTCTTTTAAATTTAAAAAGCATCACTTTCTAATAAGTAGAAGTAGTTTGCCCAAAAAGATCTATGTTTAATTCGAAAATGTTTCATTTCAAAATATTTTCGGAATAATTTATGATTCCAAAACTATATTATTGTACCGAGTAAATACTGCTTTGTTAAACAAATTTTAGACTCACTGTCTGTTATCAGGAGAACATCTTTAAACACTGACAGTGTTTCAATTTAAAACAAAATTTTAATTTTCAAATTAAACTGAAAAAAATTGGATGTTTTATAAAAAAAATTAAAAAATTACTGTATAAAGTTACCATGCTAGATTATAGAGAATAATTTAGTTACCTGGTTCATAATAGGTTTCTTACTATAAACCAAAGCAGTTTCACTTCCAAGACTCATTGCAGCTTCTGCAAATTTTTGACAGTGCTTCAACCTATCTGATACACCACTTAATTCTTGGTTTTTAACACTCAATTCGTTCTTTTTAGATGTACAGACTTTATTCAAATCTTGCAATAATACTTTTGCTCTCTTATTTATATCTGTAATGTATCTGGAAAAATCATAAAATTATTTTACATTTAATGTAGGCATTGACAGAACTTCAACAAGATAATCAAATACTAAACAATAAAACAAAATTCAAAATATGTCAGCATGACTAACTCAAATATTTGTAAAATTATAGAACTTAACTAGTTTTTTTTTTAAAAATATGAATTCTAAAAAAACTTTTTTTTTAAAGTTATTTAAATTTTAAGTCTTTAAGAATGTCCAACAACACTCTGAAATAGCTTGAAACTAATTGATGCATTATGTTTCAAACTCAATTTAATCTACTTTCTTTTTTTCTTTGAAACAAACATTCTATCTTGCGGGTATTGCGTAATAATATATTAATCAATCCGACTTTTTAAAAAAATTTTTAAAAATTTATATTTTTTCCTTAGGTTTATGAAACAAAAAATTTTACTACATATTATTTCAAAAACAAATCTAAATCTTACGTGTTATTTTATTCTGTAAGCTCAATAACATGTGCCGCATAGCCACCTTGTTTAATGGCAGAATAAAAGACTATGCGCAAGATTAAATTACACAAATTTATAACCTAATATACCTTTATTTTTTTAAAAATAATCAATACAAAAGTGAAGGTATTAAAATAAATTACTTAAACATGCAATGAATTTTAAAAAGATAACACACACAGAAAAAAAAACAGAAAAAAAACTGAAGATTGTAAAAATGTTACTATTTCTACACAGATCACCTATTTCGTTTTAAGTTAAAACTATAACCTCCATTTTCACTCAATTCTCTTTTTTAATTTTTCAATTTAACTCTATTTTCATTCTGCTTACGCACGAGATTACGTAACGCATATTAGACTGTTTTTTTACTTTCACTCTTTCAGATTAAAAAAATTCATTTAAAAAATTATATTAAGATCTAAGAATGAGTTACAGGCACATTCATGAACAGAAATTTATATCCAACTATTAAATGTGCCAAAACAGTGTAAATATGAACAAAAATTTAGATCACATGATAGGGTAAAACTTTCACAAAATTATGGGACAATAGCTCGTTCGTACTGTACATAAAAAAGGTACAGAAGAACACTAAAGATTGTGGTAATATTTTTATTGATGTATTAGAAATTGTGAACATACTATATCTATCAATTGTGATAAAAATGTCCTTGCAAAATTGGAATGAAACATCTTTTCTATAATTATTTTTAACTTTCAGAGAACAGCCTATTAGAAATAAATGTTACAGAAAATACCAAAATTCATTTAAACAATAAGACTCCAAAACTGAGAAAAACAGCAAGAACATGAAATTAACTTACTTAACAGCAAATGTTTTGATTTCCTGAGTAATGACTTTCTCTCGCTCTTTGATCTCTTCATTTCTTCTATTCAAGTTTTCACTAGCTGCTTCCAAGCTTTCCTGTCTTTCTTTGATTTTAACTAACAGTTCTTCAATTAAACCTCTTTCATCTTCACAAGCCTTCTCAAGAAATTGATATTTATGTTCTTTATGATCACTCAGCTGACAATCACGACAAGTTAATTTATCACAGGTTTCACAATAAAGCCTTAATTGTTCCTGTAATCCAAAATATAAAAAACTATTTAATATATTTTCATTGATAACAAAACAAATAATATTAGATAAATAAAGTACATATCTTTACACTTTTGTACAACACCTCTTGTAAGAATGTCAATTTTAATGCATGTTAACCTTAAATCATGATGATTTTACATAACTCTTTTTTAATACAGTATATTTCTGAATAATTTTTTTTCCCAATGGCAGGCACTGAACTTTATTCGTTTCGCCTTAGAAGATGCCAGAGTTGCTGCTCATTTTGCGTTACTTAATGGGCACCTGTGAACCAAAGTCACGGAGGCGAGTAACATTGCCCACGCCACATTGCCACAAACCCGTTTATAGGGTAGGCCACATTCATACATCACACACATCAGAGGACAACACAAGAGAGAGAAACATCCATGCCCAGAGCGGGATTCGAACCCGCAGTCATTGGTTTTGCAGCCAGGTGCGCTAACCGCTCGGCCACCTGGCCGGCATATTTCTGAATATAATCCCATCTGCGTATAAGCCAGAAAGAACGCTTTTTCATTAGGAAATTCACCCAAAACAGGCAAACGTTAAAAAAAAAGTATGTTACGGTTGGAAATAAAAATATACCCTAGTAGCAATGATAGATCTAGTAATGGTTGCACATTGAGTAAATGAGCATAGATCTTCCAATGCCTTAATTAGATTTTTAAGAAATGTTGTTTCAATAACAATATGTATGGGAGGGAAAATCATTTAGTTTATGAAGACACAAAGACATCAAAAGTGAGGATGATACATTACATACAAAAAACCTTCTGATGACTGAACAGGAATTCACCAAATTTTAAGGCATATTTGCTGGCGATATTATCTAGGAAGTTAGTGGATAAGATCATATACCAACCTTTATGCTTTCAAAAATTTTTAAAAATCCGTGGCTTATACTTGGAAACATACAGTAATTTATTATGATTTATTTATGCTTCACAGCTTTCTAAAAAAATTTGACAGCTCAAGTAACCACATATAAAATGACGAATAACTGAATTTGATTTATCTCAAATATAAATGCTCACTTTAAAGTCCACAAATATCTACTGTGCGCAAAATGAAAAATCAAACCACCCTTAATAACTTTTGGTCTAATGATCGGATCTTCACATTCTACGATTCATTCTTAATGACTCAAGGGAGTGACCTGAAATATGCTAATTAATTAGCGCAAGCAAAATTTTAAGTTACGAAATTAAGACACAAAAATGCACTTTCTCTGAATAAACATACTTTTTTCGATGGATTTCAGACCCCCAAAATATAAGGGGTAGCCACAATCTATAAAATATGGTTCCAATCGTTTGGTCAGGAGTGAGGTCCAAAATTTGGATCCCTTAGTGTTAATTTTACTTTTAGTGTATTTCATCATATTACCAGAAATTTTTAAGCGAACTGAAAAATTTTTGCACATAATTATGAAGTTATTTTTATTCAAATATATTAACGTGCAAAAAATAACTTTTAATTAATATTTATTAAAAGTTATGTTTTGCATGGAATAATCATTGGATAAATGAATTTCATAATGTATAAAAAGTAAAATTAACATTCAGCTCTCGAACTTAGCTCTCTGGCCAAACTATTGGAACCATATTTTCCAGACTGCAACAACCCCCTATAGTTTGGGGATCAGAAATCCGAATCCATCGCAATAAGGTATGTTTGTACAGAGAAAGTACGTTTTTTTGTCTGATTTTGTAACTTAAAATATTGTCTGCACTTAGAATATTTAAGGTCAGCCCCTCAAACCATTACGATTGAGTCCTAGAACGTTAAGAGCCGATCATTAGATCAAAAGTTAAATGGGTGGTCCATCTTTTATTTTGGACACTGCACATAAGTTGACTGTTCTTAAAAATCTTATTGAAGGAAAATGATAGAAAAGATAAACTTTCGAAAAAAGATCAAAATTTTGAAAAATTTATACTTTAATATCAAACCAAAGAAGGATTCAAAGGAGGGAAGATTTACAAATAACATGTTATAAATTGTGAAGTCCAAGTTTGGTTAAATAAACTAAATTTACTGGTTAAGTATATTATTTCTTATCTTATCACCTTACAATTGATTTTTACAAAACAAAAAAAAAAATTTTAAACAAGCCTGTTACAATAGTACTTATAAATTCAATTTATAAAATTTATCGTTGAACATTTAATTTTATAATAAGAGTAAAAAAAGTATCAATTACTTGAAGGTAACATTTAAAAAAAAATTAATGGGTAGACTATTTAAAAGAGAGTTTGCAAGAGAAAACAATACAAAGCAAGGAATAAAATATAGCATTTGACTTACATGGGAATGTACAGGACAAAAAAGATATTTCTGGTTACGATTAGCTATGTTTTCTCCATCCATTTCTTCTTTAGGTCGTACAATATGATCTTTGGTGACACGGACTCGTCTATGAGCAGTAACACAAGACTCGCAAAGCCATTCTTGGCATTCCATACAAAAAGAAGTCCCCTCAGCACCTTCTTCACAACTACATGTATAACTACACTCTTCAGGCAAGTTTTCAGAGTTCTGTACATATTCAACAAGAAAAAGATGGTCCACAGTTTCATTAACATTTATTTCTTGAGAGCAAGCTGGACATGCAAGGTGTGTTTTTCCTAAAAAAGAAAAATAGAAGGAATGTGCCTTAGTAATAGTAAAGCAAAAACTTTTTTTTTCACTTAACTTAAACAATAGCAGAACAATGATTTTGCTTAACTTGGAAAACTAAGGGGAGGGTTCTTTTTTACTAAAAACAGGTCTCTATTTATAAAAATATTATCTCAATTTTAAAGGTATACGTAAAAAGTTAATATTTTATAATTAGGTAAACATAAAAAAATTTAATTAACAATTAATTTAGTAATAATTTAACAAATGACAAAAAAAAAATTCGCCCCTTATTATGTGCTAAATATACAGTAGGGAACCGATTATCCGGAACGATCGGGACCATCGCTATTCCGGATAACTGATTTTTCCGGTTTTCCGAATCGCAACAAAAAGCCGTTTTTTTTTTATTGTTAAACCTAACTAAAAAAAAAATATTTGGAAATAATCTTGAAAAAACGAAGTAATACACTAATGATTGTTTCCAAAATGATGGTAAGGTAAACTTCTTTCAAAAAAGAAAAATCCTAAAATCTTATGAGGAAAAAAAACATTTTTTTTAAAAAAATGGCGGGAAAATTTATCGAATTTCATTCCGGTTTTTTGGTTTCCTGATTTCCGGATAACGGGTTCTGTACTATATAACGTTAATTAGATAATTTAAAGTCACATTCTGCTATATATAGGATAAAATAATTATAACTTAAAACTGAATAGCATGCAGATTATTTGCAAGTAAAAAAAAATTTAAAAAATAAACAAGTAACATGAGGAAGCCTAAGCATAACATAGATTCAGTTCCCATAAAGAAATAGATTCAACAAATAGGTTAATTTCAATAGATTTTACTTAAAAATTATTTCTAATGAAAAATACTATTTGTAAGTTGCCGATTTTGTAATAAGAATTAAAAATTTGATTGACGCAATTGTTTTCATTTGTTAAATTCTGAGTGTTTTATTAAATCAAGGGGGGTGGGTCAGATTTACTTTATTTTTTTATCGTTTCTCAGTGAAAGTACTCAGAGCTGAAATAAATATATTTTTTTAAAATAAACATTTTTTTTTTAATTGAGAAACTTCTATTGATCTGCAATACCATGGGAAGAAAAGTTCCAAAAAAAATTTTCTCTTTTTTAAAAAAATAAGCTTAGTATCATTTACTACCAAAAACAAATATGTATTAAATAGCTTAAAATTTATCAATTGAAAAAACTTCTGTTACAAAAAAAAAAAATGAAAAATAAAGAAATCATCAACTAAACCTGATATACTAAAAAATCAACACTGTAAACTCAGTTTAAAACATTCTATATCTTTACTGAATAATGAAAACTTTTTTATCTCTACATTCTACTTGCCGTAAAATAGTTCATTAATCAAGTAATGTTTAACAATGTGCACTGTTATAAAATGTTTTCAAAATTATAACAAAACTTAAGAGAAAGACAGGAGAAAGGAAGTCTCAAAAAACTATCTGTGATACTGAACAGAAAATAAATTTTCTATCCACCATTTTATCCATCCATTAAATAAACGTATAGCTATTCCATCTATGATAGACATAACAAGAATTTCATAACAAAAGTTTATTTAAACTGTCAAAGTTCTTAATTCCAAGTGGTCTAACACCTGCATCAAGAAAAACCTGCATATAATGTAACACTTGAGATAGAATTATTTTCTTTCCTCGTATAGAATTTATAAAAATAAATAAATAAAAAATAGAAGAAAAAAAATTAAAAGTTGGGTTTAGGTTTACTTACAAGAATCTAAAATAAATCTGTTGGTTTATGATTCTTTTTTTCGGGATCACGAGTCTTTTTTTTTTTCCTTTTTGGGACAAACTTTTTATTTTTATTTTTCTGTGGTGCCTCTGTGATTTTTTATGGAGTATTTGACGCGTTGTGGAGTATTGAACTCCTAAACAAAGTCACTGCACATACTCAAATTAATAATGCAATTTTGTTCATAATTAGTAATTTTTAATAATTTTGATTTAATGTTCAAAAAAATCGTCTTTATAATGAGCTTTTTCTATTTCTATATGCATAAAAAGTCTTTCTTCTAAATCATTTTTCAAACTTGTTGGAGCATTCTTATTGGCCAGAAAAATCAAGTGATGAGTTTCTTACTTGACGAAGAACCAGATTTCTCTGGTTGTCATCAGCATAATTTAAATAAAAATTAAAAATGCATTTTTTAACTTTTCGTTAAATCCCAATTCGTTAAAAAAAAAAATCTATGTAATAAAACCTGACGATTCTTTCTGACTTTCTGAACACCAACACCGGACCTGATTCTTTTACAATATAACTTCCTTAATTGAAATAGGTTCCCTTTTCCTTTTTTTCCACATCACTCACTAGAAAAATTTATTTTAAAAAAATTAAAAAAAAAAAACGTTTTCCTAAGTTTATTATTTTAATGGCAAAAAATTTAATTTAAAAGATGGGGAAATGTTTATTTTTACTGTTACATCTATTTTGATGAGCTGAAAAGGTGGAAGCTTATGAAACAAATATTTAAAGAAAGGAGGGAGTAATTTCCTTCTTAAATTGTTAAATTTTAAGAAGAAAAAATTGAAGCGATTGTTTTTTCTTTTATTTATTTTTCAGTTATTTTACTTATACTTTACATGTTCCAGTTTTCATCTCCCCACTCCAAGTTTTAATCCAATTAACAAAAATATATAACCGCAAATTCGACGAAAAGCGGATTAGAGATTCTAAGGTTCTCGCTAGAAAATTCGTAGCATGAGGACACCCTAACCCAGCAGATCCAAACTTTTTCCGGCTTTGGAATCTAAAAAATATAAAGACATTTGTAAACATATTAACCTATAAAAAACGGTCTTATTTTGAAAATATTTAATAAGACTGACATCTTTTCATCATTAATAATCTTAAATTAGGTTCCATTTCCGACAGCTGTACTCACAGTCCTCGAACTGAATCTAGTCTTGTTATAAATTTGTTTTTGTTGTATAAACATAGGATGCAAATGAATAAAATAAGCCGAATTATGGTTTTCGTTGAAAAATGCTAGTAGGGAAACATATTTCTTTATTAACCATCTAGTTATTTTATTTCGGTTTGGAAAGAGCGATGCAATACTAATGCAATATTTTATAAATGCACTAATTTTTCATATATTGTAATTTGTAAAAATAACCGAAAAATATGTACTATTTTTCTTTCAATAGAAAATAACTTTAATATCAAAAGGCAACCGAAATATTAAGTAAATAATGGATTGTTGATGGAATCTTAATATATATTATGAAATATTGATGAAATCTATATGTTCTAAACTTATTATTTTAAAAAAAAGTCCATTTGTAGCCCTAAGGTTCTGCGTAACACCATTTAGGAACCACAGCCCTCTGCACTTCAAGCTAAAACTTTGACTAAATATTTTAACTGCTTCGGGGAGAGGGACCAAAAGATAGAATATGTAGACAATAAAAAAAAAAATTCATTTATGATGGGTTTTTTTCACCCCATTATAAGGAGGCAAATCCCCCTAAAATCTCTCTCCTTGGTACAGATGTTTAAGTTTGAGAGCTTTAATATTCTAGCCCCTTATAAGAAATTTAATGACTAAAATAATTCTCCACCCAGAAAACGTGGACGGAACGGGAGTCATATTTGTGTTTAGGGATCATTTTTCATTATAATAAGCAAGGAAATGTTTTTATTTTTATGCAATACAGTGACATCATCATTAAAAAAATGCAGAAAATATTTTTCAAAATAATGATTCAATTAAAACATTTTTCTAGAAATTGGGGTGTTCTAAAAGGAATGTAATCTAAATTTATAACCAAATTGTACAATAAAAAAAATTATTAATTAATTAATTAAGGACATTTTAAGAACCAGCAAGAACACAACTGCTAAATCCTATCGCTGTTTACAATTCCGCAAACAAAATTATTTTCTAACAACGCGCATTTTTATGATCATAATGAAACACTAATATAAAAATTCAAAAATCTTCGAAGTGCTAGAGATAATTTATTTCAATACAATTATCCATAAATTCAAAGATCTCTCTATTCAGAAATAGACGATAAACAGAACACATAATTCCTCTCATAAAAACACGAAACACGTCACTCATGATACTAAAAGTCAACATCTCTACTTCTACACTTTGTTCTATTCTAACGTGAGAATAAATGCACAAACACGTAAGTCAGTTCATTTCCAATAACACAGCACGCAGTGAAAAAGACAAGCTGTCTAAAATGTCTGTAGATTTGGCGCTTAATCGCCTTTAAAAAGTTACGAAAATACCGAAGTTCGAGGTCGTCTATTCAAGCCTCCTAAATTTTACGAAAATCAGTGGATCGAATTATATACCGGTTGTAAAGTCGGTTATGTAGATCCGGAAATATCGATGCGTTAAAAACTATTTCTAATATGTTATATAATATGCATATTATCTAATATGTTACGTACAATTAATTTTACATTTTCTCTCATATTCCCTTAGTGCCCAGAGACCTTTTCAGAAACAATACTTTAAATTATAATTAAGTCAAGAGTATTTCAAAAAATATAACACTACGAAAAGTTTTAAAACAGACCATAAAGCTACAAATTTAAAGATTTCACAACATCATGTGTCGGAACAAATAACATCAGTAGTGTCATAATACAGATCCCACTATGAACTGTACTTTATCCTTGTCCCACAAAAATAGTCTTTCCCCCTGTCCGAAGAATTTGAAATTCCACACTTTTTTAAAAAATTTTATCCAGGTACTTCGAAAAAATTTCGGAAAGCTGAAAATTTCGGATGCTCTGGCTCCAGTTAAGTCCAGTTCAATGAGACTCCAAATTGTAATATATATTTGTGTGTGCTTTTTAGTTTCAGATTTTAATTTTAAATTGTTCTTATGAAACGGAACAAAATAACAATCATCAACTCATTAAAAAAAATTTTAAAAAATCAGTTCAAAGTTAAAAATCATTCTTAAAAAAATAATTGAATCTAATAAA